GGAAGAGTGGGATTGAATGTATGCTTCCATCTTAGGATATCTCTACAGTTTGTGCATTAATCATTCTCTCCAAACTTTCCCCTCTGCAGCTGTAACACACACACACACACACACACACACACACCAGAAGCAATTACTAATTGTGGCTTCTGCCCTCTACCACACCCCAGAACTTTACCAACATCCTATCCAAGCCACAAGCCAGGGTGGGGATGGGTAGCATAAGAGGTAATAGCAATACCCTTTGACTGACAGCTCTGGTCTCCCAGCATAATTTGAACATTCCAGAGGTGACCATGAGGTTAATGCCATCTGGAGCAGACTGGGATGGGGTGGACTGTTTGTTCAGAACTCCCCACCAATGAAACTTTAAAGAGAAGTTGTGTGCCCAGGGGTCCAATCCAATTAGATACAGATTTTAGCCTGGAAGAAGAAGAATTACAATAACAACAAGAAGACACCATTGGAGAAGGGGATGCGAAGGTCAAGTTCAAGCATTGCTTAAAGCAAATACAAAACTTGGCGGGAGCCCCATCAAAATTGGGTTGGGGGCTTCTCCTCCATTAGCGACATCAGGGAAGTTGATAGAGAGTTCCAAATTGCTAAGACTTTCCCTTGGAAGCACAGGGAAAGTCAGAAACTCTAACAGCTACCCTCCTCTGGAGCAGCTTCCCTGTTGGGCAAGCCGTAATCCCTTGCCATTAATGAGCACTTTGTTCCAGTCTAAAGGGATGCGGATAAGCCTGAACTATGAAGAAGAAAAAACAAAAGGAGGAGAAGGAGCTGGAAGGAACATTAAATAAACTCCCAGTTTCATAGTTTTAGCAGAGAAAAAGGCTCCCTGCCCTTAGGGGTATCTCATGTAGACTGCAAACCAGGAACTTCACTGCAATTGTATCAAGCAATTTCTTCTTTCCATCTGGATTTTCCCCATTGTCTTTTTGTTCATGTGATAAACATACTGAATCTTGAGTGTGTGTGTGTGAGAGAGAGAGAGAGGGAGGGAGAGAGAGAAAGAGAGAGACAGAGAGAGACAGATAGACAGACAGAGACAGTGAGACAGAGACAGACAATCATTTTGTATTGTACTTATCCTGCCTCACCTCTGGGCAAGTTTATCCTTTCTTCTTGTTTCTCAATGCCCCGAGTTTGGACTTCAGCTCTTACTCACATTTATTCACCTGACCCTATTATTTGATGTAGAAATGTCTGTATGTCTCTACTCCTTTTTTAAATTAGTGGGCTATGATTTGCTTATGGAAGCCATCCTCTCCATCTGCAATCATATGCAATCATGTCCGTGCAAAATTCCCCAAAGCAAACTGACTAGAATTGCAATTAAGGTGACATATAATGCAGTGCAGCGGGACTGTCCCTGCTTTAGTTCATACATGGGAGCAAAATTCTTAGCTATGAAAATAGCTTGCTTGTTATTCATACGGATATGCTCTAACAAGTATGTTGTTGTAAAACTGATCAACTAACTTTGATGTTCATGTCATCAATTATATGGAAAGATATTATAGGCAGGGGTAAGACTCCTGTGAAGTTTCTTGCTGTTAGCTTGCACCCATTCAGAATCGTAAAATGTACCCACACATAGAGCAAAGTAAGTTTGTTGAGTAACAGTCATTACATTTATTTTCAATTTTCCTATATATCTTTCATTGGTCTCTTTCCTAGTCATGTCACTTTTGCATATGTTCATGTCTAAACTTCATTTATTTCTTATGTCCACATTAAGCTGCAATCCAGACAAAACATTAAAATAAAAGCTTTTTTCAGAGTTCAGCTATCACCTTAAATAGGCAAATGCATATTATTACAAAGTATGCAATATGCAATATTTTAAATGTAAAGTGTCATGTTTTAAACCTTCACTTCTAGTCAAGAAATAAACATCATATATGTGCAGAGAAGTGAAAATCCAAAAAGAATAATCATGCTCCAAACAATTCATTTCTCCGGTCAGAGTCAGATCTAATCAGTCTGTGCCTGATTTTTTGAAGCATCCCTTTTCCAATATCAATGAATATTCCTCCAGCACATCTAACCCTAAACCCAGAAAAAGCTGCACTTTCCAGCCTCATTAAGCAGTATAACAAGCCACAGTCATACATTTGCCAGTGGGGAAACTCAGCCTAAATTCAGCATCTCTGAACAAAAACCCTTCGGTGTGAGTTCTCCTTTTTCACCCATCCCAAACATACCTACGTAAAGATTAAAGCCACATTTGGAGGATGAGGACAAGAAGGCATAAATCTCTTCCTTCAAAAGTCCTGAACCACAGAGATGCCTTTCAAGTTCAGATAAGAAAGTTGACTCTGTTGATCTGAGAAAGTTGTTTTTCATGACAGCCTCCTCCTAAAACTATTGGTCTAGTTCATTTGGAATGTTTCTGGGCCTCTCAAGAGCAAAACAGAAGTTGATATAATCAGAAACTGAACTTCCTTCTTTTTGCCGGGGGGGGGGGGGACCCTAAAGAGAACTGCTGTTGGAGAAGGAGAGTGGCAGTAAGCTTCAACTGCAGCTGTAACAGTAGAATTGCAGGAGATAGCCTTTTTCCGGGATGAGCAAGTAGAATGAACAGCATTAGATGATTCTAATTGATATTGTGGGCCATCAAAAATTGCATGTATATATTTAAAATGTGAGTGGCACAGTGGCCTAGATGTAAAGAAGCTTGCTTCCTACTTGGAAGGTTCAGGGTTCAATCTAAGGCAGCAGCAGATGTTTCTCTACCAGGGCACAAGGAGAAAATATCTGTTGTGATCTCTGCGTAGGTGTGAGGAAGGGCATCTGGCCAGTAAATGCTCAGCTCCATTCAGTTCCCCTTACTACGCCCCAAATAAATAAGTGTGTGTGTTTTGTGTGTGTGTGTGTGTGTGTGTGTGTGTGTGTGTGTGTGTGTGTACTGTTTTATGAGCATGTGTAAACTATATACATTATAGACAGGAGTCTTCTTCAATATTTAGGTCAAAATTGCTGCCAGAATCTTTGCACCTATATTTAAAGTGAATATTAGGCAATATCTCACACAACTTGTAAGGTCCTTTCCCGTTTTCAAGATAACCATTATATAAACCTTAGAAAACAAACAGGGAAAGGCCCCCTTTTTAAAATGACTTATATCTTCAGGAGTTTAATTTCAAACTATAGAAGTCCAAGCTCATTTTATGTTTTTTTTTAAATAATACAATCTGACCTGGGGGGGGGGGTGTCCCAAATTTCCTAGAGTCCACTGTGGCAAATCTCTCCTGTAACATTAGAGGTGCAGCTAATTCCTTGGAATAAATGGATGATTCACTAAAGCTGAGAATAGCTTCCAGGAGAAGTAATTTAGATAAGGGATTTAACTTGGGACAGCTGGGAAATGTAGCCTTTTGAAAGATCATCTGTGGTCTAGGAGTGTCTTGTTTAGGATCTGCTGGTAGATCCAAAGATGCTTGAAATGTCTATCTGCTGGGCAGTGGTGAAATCTAATTTTTTTTTGCCACCGGTTCTGTGGGCGTGGCTTGGTGGGGGAGTCATGTGTCTGGGTGGACGTGGCCAACTTTTTTTTTCACTTTTTAAAGCATTTTTTCCTCCAGGTTCAAGCGAATAGGCAGGAAAAAATTGCTTTAAAAAGTGGGGGGAAAGCTTCTGACGATCGTCGTGCGGATCCGCTGTGAGTCGCGTGATCATCGGAAGCTTCCACCCCCCACCCCCCTGCCTTTTAAAGCCTTTTTTCCTACCTATTCACCTGAACTGGCAGGAAAAAATGCTTTAAAAAGTGGGGGAAAAGCTTCCGGCGATTGCGCAATCCTCGTAAACTTTTTTTTTTATTACCAATTCGCAGAACCAACGACAATTGTCCCTACTTGTTCGGCCGAACTGGGCCAAACTAGGAGGATTTCACCCCTGCTGCTGGGGTTAAATTATCCATCTTCTGATCATCTTCATTCTTTTTCTCTGTACGAATATCTGCTCCATCTTTCTTAAAATACTGTGTCCAAAATACTCAAAATGACATCGGATCAATGCAGAATACAGTGGAACAACGACTACCCAAGATCTAAAACTACATTTCTTCTAATGCAACTTACGATTATTTTAACTGTTTAAACATGCCTGTGATTCAATGATATTATTCTGGGCTACCTGTATATAATTCTTGCCCAAGAACCATGCTACAGTTACTTTTTCTAAAAGGTTCAATAAAGCAAGAGGCAGAAAACCCTTCTCCTGATTCTAAGGTGTTTAATTGTGGCCAAAGTAGAAAGACGCTATACAACCTACATGCAGTGGTCAATAAGGCACAACAAAGACACCAGAAGATACACCAGTAAACAAGTACTACAATCATAGCAGATAATAACCATTTGCAGTTATGTTCAAATGTATTTTGCTTTTCCTTTAATCCAAAACTCCAAAAACATTAGCTCTTCTAAACATTTTGTCTTCCAGTTCCTATGGTCATACGAGACTTCCACACATAGATATACAGGCACAGGTGTATGCATACATGTCAGTGGTGGGATTCACATAATTTAACAACCGGTTCTCTGCCCTAATGACCAGCTGGATAGGAATGGCTCGGTGGTCATGTGACCGTGTGGGCATGGCCAACCCAACGTCACTCACGTCAAGAGGCACTTCACCTTAGCTGTTACAATGTAATAAGGGTTAACTGGAGAGGCAGTTTCTGTTATGCAGGGCAATAAAGATTAGGCTAGAAACAACACCAGACTGTTTCCTTCCTGCCTTCCTTACAGGATTAGCCATGTAAAGTGGAAAAAAACCAAAAGGAGATTTCTTCCAACAACCGGTTCTCTGAACTGCTTAGAAAGTTAACAACCGGTTCTCCCGAATAGGTACGGACTGGCTGAATCCCACCACTGATACATGCTCACAACCACTCCACCAAGTTGACTTTTACTACAGTTTAGCCACTAATTCCTGAGATCATCACTAACAGCCTAGAAGTTTATTTAAAAAGAGAAGCAAAAATTAGTACTTACAACTTTTCAAGAGCATGGAGTCCCAAAAAAGTGCCGTTCTTCAGGGTTGTTATTTTGTTATTGCTCAAAATCCTGGAGAAAGAGAAAGGTGTTATGTAGTTTCTGTTGTCCATACATGCAGGGCTTAACGAGGCAGGCGAGAGGTTTGGTTCTCATTGATGGATTCATTAGTTCCCAAATAGATAAACTAGCTAAACATTCACCCAGAACCCCAAATCCTCTTTTTTGCAGCCTGCAGAACCTTTTTAAGCATAGTTTCCCCAAATCAGCCATGCAGCTTCCGATCAAATTCCAAAGCAGATCATGCTCACAGTTTTTGGAATAGCCTAAATTGCATCCTTCTTTCAGAAAAAAAAAAGGGGAGCCCGGTATATAATAATTATTATTATTACTTTGTCAAATAGTCAGCCAGATGTTCAGATGGGATTTGGCAGTTTTATCTACCTATCAAGTGCTTCCCAAGGAGCTGGATTAAGCAGATGTTGATGTTTGATGATGTTAGAGATATTGCAGAGTGTAAACTGTTTCAAGTAAAGCTGCCTTTTGCAATTGATGGTGAATTTGTCAATGCCAATGGTGTTCCAGTCATTTTGGGATTGTATCTAAGGTGCCTATCACTATTCCCTTTGCTTTCTTTTGCCATAGTTGTTCTATTTCTATTTGCAGGTATTTGTATTCTGTAATTATTATTACATATATGTATGACATGCCCCCCCCCCCTGACTTTTGCATAATGGCTCCAATTGCAACCCTTCCCCTCCCTTTCCACATGTTAATGGTAGCTTCAAATGTTGGTCATTTCTGCATTAGTCAGCACCATGTGTTTTTGGGTGGCTGTAGATGGTTTAACGGAAAGACAGCAGAGACTAACACAAACTGATGAAGTCATGATTAGCTGTCACTCCTTTGCAAGCACAATTCGCGTAATGCTTCTCAGACATGATGGGGTTTGCTTTCACATCAGCTCCACGGATAATAGTAACGTTTACAAATGGGGAACAGAGGCCAGGTGTCAATGCTTTTCCCATGGCTGAAGGAAACCGAGGAGAAAGGCCTTATCTAAACTGTACCAGCTGGTTAATGGGATTTTTTTTTTAATACATATATCTCATCTCTCCCTTCATCTGAATCCATTATTTTACTCTGTGCCATTACTGGCTGGGAATGTGTGCGGTGTGGCTGAGTGACACGGTTAGATTTTCATCACTGCTATTCTTAGCAGAATGAAATAAGCTTGCAAAGCCTAGCAAAATGGAACTAACAAAGGCGTAATTTAATAAATGGAATAATAAACATTGCAAAACAAACAGATGTAAACTAAAAAGTACATAACTGGAAAGATAAACAAACCAAAGCCAAAGAAACAAAATTAGAAGGAAAAGAAATATGAAACCTATCAGCATATGAACGGGTTGTGTACGTAGACACAAATGTACACCCACACGCATGTGTGCACAAACACATACAATTTTTTACATGCACATGGGCAAGATCTTAAGGAAAAGTAAAAATCTTTTAGATATTGACTTCCGGTTGTACATCCGGCGCCTTCGGAAGCCTGATCCACAAGTTCTGCGGTCAGCTCTGACCTCTCCCTGTCGGAGGGTCCAGATTTGGACCATGGCCACCCTGAAGGGGTGGTGAAGTAAAGGGGGACCACATGGTAGGCAGAGGAGAGCCGCACCTCTCCTCCCTGACCTGGAAAGCCCCCGCATCTGAAAATGAGGAGCAGTGGCAGCCAAAATGGCCACCATGAAGCTGGGGGCAGTCTGAATACCCAAGACTGTGCTGGGGTGGAGAAAGTGAATGGAGCGTGACCTGGGAGAGAAAATATTTTTTTTATTGGAAGTTGACCCCAGAAATCCAAGGGGGAAGCATATTTAAAGCTATTGCTTAGAGCTGTGAATGGACACATGATATTGAATAATGGAAGAGAACTTTGATTTAACTAAGGAAATATGAACAACAAAATAGGTGGAAAACACCTCTTTGAATATCATAATGATATGAAAGGGGGGAGTTAAAATAGGGATAGAAAATAGTGGAGGAAAATAATAATTATATATTAATATGTTAAGATACACAAAAGGAGGGAAAGTTGGTTCAGAAATGAAGGGTGATAATAAAAGGCATGTATAAATAATATGAAATATTGGAAATGAAATGTAATATTTAGGAATAATAAGACTATGTTTATGTGTACTAAAATGTATGTGACCCAGTTACTATACCATTCATGCATTGATATGTATAAGAAAATATAAAAAATAAAAATATGATTGGAAAAAAAATCTTAGATATTCACATTCAATATTTCTGTCTGGAATAGGCAGAGAAAAATCATTTGTCAGGAAAAACATCTCAGTGTTCGATTAATTCAGAAGATATCTGCATAGTTAGTTCTGCGCAAATAATATATGGTTTTTAAGGCATATTTTTCATTCTGATCCAATCATAAAAAAGAGGGAATAATCAGTAGACAGGATAAGTGTGTGTTTTCAAAGGCTGATTGGCCAGTCCAGTAACAGCTTGGAAACACACTGAAATATTAACAAGAATAGATTTTCTCAAAACAGGAACCAAAGTCAGCTCTTGTTCTCAAACAGGACCAAGGCCTCAGAATCAAATCAAGATGTATTTTCTCCATATATTTGTCTATCCTCCCCCCCCCCCACAAAGTTGTAGAGAATGCTGTCTATGCATCAACCTTGCGTGATGCTCATTTTTAGCATGTACAAGCTGAAGTTGGCAGCCTCTGGATTAGGACCTCCCACACAACAGCCTGCAAAGCTGTTGGATGGACCAAGATACTTGGTCCATCCCTTCCCACTGGGCTTCCTTATTGTATGGAAGTCCGGTTCAAGTACCCCCTAGGTCAGGGTTTTGATGGGCACTAGGAAGCTTGCTCTCAAAGTAAACAGTTGGGAAGATCACAAAAACAGCCCTCTTTTGACCTCAACTCAAAGCAAGCAGAAAACTTGCCAACTGAAAGGAGCCAGGGAAAAAAGGAAAAAAGAGGAGCACCCATCAATTCTTCCAGCTCTCATTAAAAAGCTTATCTAATGAGCAATTAGCCCTGGCAAGCATGCCTTGTGCTAAGAGGGCCACCAAACAGCTGCAGAGCTTTTGATAGCCTGACCTCAGCATCCACTTCAGATTCTTCTTTTCATGGAAATTTTTAAGTGAATGGGCCTTGTAGCAGCCATGTTTCCCAAACAACGGCTGTTAACAATTGCACAAAAATCTTTCACTTTTCTTAAGGTTTTGTTCCCTGTGCCAAAATAGAAACTACATTCCATTTTCCTGCCCTTTCTTCCAAATGCTCGAGAATTTCTTTCACGTTTCTCCTTGGGTTGTTTCTGACTTGACTTCCTGATTTGACAACGATAAAGTCAGAATGACATTTGAAACTACTTGTCAAGGAGGCAGTGATGAATTGTGCAGGGAGTTTATTTTTCTCAGGTCCACATTTTTCCATCAGTTCCCAGCTCTCTATCTGTCCAACAACTGTATATTATTATGGTTTTTAAATGCTTCTAATTGTTTAAATTCATTTCATATAGGATAGGGTGGGCAACTATGCCTGGCTCAGGAATTCTGGGAGTTGAAATCCACAGGCTGTAAATGGGCCATAGCCACCCACCCCTGATATAGAAGCATCATACTAGGCTGTGAGATGCTTTTCAGAGTTTCCTTTTTAAAAAGGCATTCAATTTTGTTTTCAAATTTGTTGTAGCCTGCCTGGAAAGATTTTGCTTGAAATACAGCAGAAAACAATTTAAATCTGAAATATACATAATATGAGATACGGGATACGTAATATAGAGATACGTATGCATTCAAATCAGTGGTGGGTTTCAAAAAAATTTCGAACCTACTCTGTGGGTGTGGCCTCCTTTGTGGGAGTGTCTTGCCGGGCATGTTTTTTTTTTTTCTCTCTCTCTCTCTCTCTCCCCCCCCCTCCCTCTCTCTCTCTCTCTCTCCC